TTTATCATGCCAAGCACTTTGTAAGCAAACCTGGGACTGTATAAATAACATTTCTTTTGATATAATTATCTTGAAAATGTGTTAGTGAATGCTGAGAGATATTGTGGAGCCTGCTGGTGTGAAAACATCATGTTATACTCAAACTGTTTTTATTCACATTAACCATAATCCTGCTCATTTTCCCATGTAGAGTATTGAAGAAGTGCTGATAAGAGTGTTATTAGGTAAAGCAGATGGTGCTGATAATAAAAGTGACTAAGTGAAATTAACAAACATGTTTAAACAAAGATGCAACATGTAATACATATTTTCACTTTGTTTTGTAAGTTCTCTTTATTGGTTCCTGTTCTGGCAGTGTCTGCCATTCTACATCTATCCATTATCTATATCACTTATTCCTGAATAGGGTCGTGGAGCCAATCTTTGCTGGCATTGGGTGAGAGGCAGGGTACAACCAGGTCAGGTCACCAGTCTATCATAGGGCTGACATGTAGACAAACAACCACACCCACAATTTAGAGTCACCAGTCAACCTAAGCTGCATGTCTTTGGACTGTGGGAGGAAGCTGGAGTACCCAGAGAGAACCCACGCAGGTACATGCAAACTCCACACAGAAATAATAATAATAATCTTTATTTATATTATTATAGGCACATGCAAACTCCACACAGAAAGGCCCTAGGTTGGCTTGAGCTCGAACCCAGAACCTTATTGCTATGATGCCACAGTGCTAACCCCTGTGCCGCTATGCCGCCAACAAGGAAGGATGTGTGTACAAAATGATATCCTCATCAATTTGATCACCTCAAACAATAATTTATACTCATTGGAATTGCCTCAGGAAACTGGCTTGATCCATGCTGCATAGAAGCAGAAGCTGATGTCCACCTTTGGCGTACAGAAACAGACCGACAGTCATTTAAGATGTGAACAAACACTGCAACCATGGATGGAATGGGAGGTAATGGATACGGTAGGAATGTTTGCTTTGGTTTGCCTGACTTGCCTGATTTTTTATTGTTGAGCTTTTCAGATGTAAAACTAAATCACTTTACTAATTTTCATGTACACTGCAAGTCAAAAGTTTGCACACATTTTCCAATTCAGTGAGAAAGTGTTCCAAACTTTTGACTATTAGTCTAGGCCTATAAAGTATGCTGTAAATTGTGCAATAAATGTTTTTATAGAGGCTAGAACTCAAATAAATGTTTTATCATAAAAAGTGGTCAGGACAGCCACAGGCTAAATGAAAGAATCATATTCATAACATCTGCTCCTCAGTAGAAAAATGATGGAGACTGTCTGTAATGTAGAGGGATCATAGTCAACCCTGTGCAAATGAACAGCAACCTGCATGATGTTAGACTTGTACAGGGATATGAGTTGTCTTGTTATTCTCTATATCACATCATAAACATCATTAAACAAAGACAAAGAATGGAAGTGAAATAAACTTACATTTGGGTTAAACCAAGAATCCTAAGATTATGGTTGAGTTGAAGCTGCTCTGTGAGGAAGAATGGTCCAGACACAGAATCAGCTTTACTGGCCAGGTGTGTTGAACACACGAGGAACTTGACTCTGGTACATCAGCTCTCAGTGTGTCTGTAGAATGCTCTTCTGTAAGGCAACAACTAAACAAGATAAGACTGAAAGAACAAGAACAGAAAAACAATGTGCTTTAGGAAAATAAAAAAGAAAAATATAGTACACACACACACACACACACCTGGTGTAGATCACATTCCAGCAAGGAGGTGTGAGCTCCTGCTCACACCAAATGACCAATAGGATTACAATGCATGAATTGTTGTACCTTTGTTTAGTGCAGAGCAGCCCAAGAAGATAAAATGTATTGTAAGACCTTAATTCGGGGTCAGTGGATGGAACTCCTGCGGGAGCTCTGTCTCTCTGATCCCAGCACTGTAAGGCCTACCTGTGATCAGAC